TAGTGAAGAATATACAAAGAAATACCATGAACTTTAGAAATTACTCACTTACGTGGCGTCTGGGGTATGAAAAGCTTGCAAGCAATCATCTAAGATGCATCAGTTGGTCCCAGCCACCTGGAGTAAAGGAGAATGAAGAACACCAAAGACACAAGGAAAGTATTAGCCCAAGAGACAGAAAGGGCCACAAAAACCAGAGATTTCATCAGCCTGAGACCAGAAGAACTAGATGGTGCCCAGCTACCACCAATGACCGCCCTGACAGGGAACACAACAGAGATTCCCTAATAGAGCAGGGGAAAGGTGGGGTACAGAAGTCAAATTCTAGTAAGAAGACCAGACTTAATGGTCTGACTGAGACTGGAGGAACCCCAGAAAGCATGGCCCCTGGATTCTCTATCAGCCCAGAACTAAAACAATTTCCAACGCCAACTCTTCAGACAGGGATTGGACTGGACTGTGGGACATAAAGTGATACTTGTGATGAGTGTGCCTCTTAGCTCAAGTAGATACAAGAGACTAAATGGGCAGCTTCTATCTGGAGGTGAGATGGGAAGGCAGAGAGGGTTAGGAGCTGGTTGAATGGACATGGGGAATCAGGGGTGGAAAGGAGGAGTGTTCTGTCACAGTATGGGGAGAGCAAGTAGAGTCACATAACAATGTATGTATAAATTTTTGTATGGGAAAAAATAAAACAAAAAAAAGAAATCACTCACTTATGACCAAGGGTCAGTGGTTGGCTTCTGTTGATTCACTGTAGGTCTTCTGTCTCAACTCCTTCATAGTCATGGAGAGTGGAAAACAGGAGTCTAAACTACAAACTACAATCCTCTAGGGAGCTTAAGTACAACAACATCAAAGATACTAATAATCATAATAACTGTCAATAATTGCTCTGAATTTTTCCCTGTCACTTGGTCAACCAACCATGAATACAGTAAATGCCTTACTATGGGTCAAGTTCTGGGGGATAAAGTAGTAAACAAGACACATATAAACCTTGCCTTCGTGAATAGGGAAGGAAAATGTTAAAGAAATAATTATATATGTGAAGAATGCCTAGATGGTGCTCGCTTCAGCAGCACATATACAGAGAAGATTAGCATGGCCCCTATGCAAGGATGACAAGCAAATTCATGAAGCATTCCATATTTTTATTGTGGGGATTGCAACTAATGTCACAAAACAATCTGTGTATAAATTTTTGTATGAGAAATTAACCTGAGGTGTAAACTTTCACCTAAAGCACAATAAAAAATAAAAAAAGAATGCCTAGATGTAGGGCAGGCATTATTCTTCTCATTTAACAGATGCGAAAACTGAGGTTGAGAGAGGAAGGAGGCTTTGCTCAGTTTTTGAGACAGAAGTGGTACAGTCAGGCCACAAACCTGGACTTATACTTCTAGTCTAGGGCTCTCTCTACATTGCTACACTGCTTGGCTGCCTGTCCCTAATGACCCCTTTCTACCAAGGCATTCTGCATCCAGTCTACTGTGGATTGGAGACGGTGAATACAAAGAGGGGAAGAGCTAAACTGACTATAATTGATTTTGGAGGTGACCTTGAGTCATTTCCTTTCTTGGTTTTAAACCATATGGCCATCGTTTTAGGAAGGGCTAAGAAAAGGAGCTAGAAAGCATATCTGTGGATTTCACTATGATTCAAAGAAGTGCCTTTGTTTAGAATAACCATGGTCCTCATTAGTTTCCATGAAAAATCTTCCTATTATTCATCAGGACACCTGTGACTTTTCTAGGGGTCACTGACCACCTAGAAAATACTTGTAAGGTGATGGATATGTGAATACCTATCTGGTGGTTTCCATCTCTCCCAAAGGGGAAGCTTTAGATGAAATTGACAGACTTGAAATTACAATATTGACAAGGCCTTTGGGAAGCTTCTAGCTCAACCACAATAGGAATTATCCCTTGCAAGAACTGCCTCTGGAGAGGAAGGATTATGGAAATGGCTGTGGATGCAGGTGCTGGAAACATCTGACCAGTGGAGGCTGATTCGGAGGAGACCTGAACATCTGTGTGTTTGATTTCTGTATGATTTGGCCTCTTTTCCTTGCCTTACCTGCCCAAGAGTTCAAGGGCCAGAACAGAAGACTGTTCAATATGCCTGTTAATAAGCTGGGAGTCTGCTCTGTACCCAACCTGGTGGAGGACTAGAGTGAAGAAGACACAAACTCTGACTTTGGAGAGCTTAGTCTGGATAAGAATTGAGATCAATATGAAACAGAGGGTTAAAAAGGGCTCAAATAGGTCCAGAGAGAGGAGAGGTCAATTTTGGAAGTGGGAGTGGACTGGGCATTGCAGGATGTGATAGATTTGAGCAGAGGAGTTGGAGGAGAAGGGCATGCCAATCAGGGCACATAGCATCAGCAAAGGTGCAGAGGGGAGTGAGGGTGGTTTGTGAAGAACACAGTAAAGTAACCCAGCTGGCTGAAGCAGAGGCTGTGTCTTGGAGAGAAATGTGATTCAGCTGGTGTGGTACACTATAGACAGACCTGGACCATGAGTCAGAATTTAGCTCTTGGTTCTACACAAGCTCTGGTCCATGTCCTGAACAAAATCACAGTCTTTCTGGGATTCAGTTTATTCATGTGAACAATCAGATCATTCCACCAGATGATCTTTGAATCCCCTTCCAGCTCTGGCAACTAAGATTCTTTGATTCTCAGAGCTATTCGGAAAGAAATGATGCATCTCAACTTCTAGCTAAAGGTCCAGAAGGACAGAAAGCCAATGCCACAAAGAGAAAAATGTCCTATTATTTTTAGCACAGTTGAGACTCCCTTGAATTCCTTAAAGCAGAAGAAGTATGGGTGGTTTAATGTTACATGTCATAGCTCACTGTTATTTTGCTTCCAGGACTCACTGTTGAAGCTTGGTGGGAACTGAGGAAATGCCGCTCATGTGTCCATTTCTTTTCCCTTCTGCTATATGCACTTCTGATAGGGAGCCATGCCACACCAATCACATGACATCACAGCCTGCAAAACTGGTCATGCACATTTCTTTCTTCACCATCATTTCTTCTTAAAGAGGCTTCCTCACAGTCAAGGTTCTTGATGGGCACTGTCATGGCTTTCAGCTAGTGACTTAGTGCTCGGGACTGCAGAGGGCTCTGCCTTATATGGGCAACACTCAGGATGGCCGAAATCACCTCTGCCCCCTGGCAGATGTGTGGAGTAATTGTGCAGAAGGCATGGCGAGAGCCTATCTCTCGCAGACATAATTCACACAGCAGATAATCTTGTCTGAGTCTCAACACAGCCAGGATAAACATGACATCTTAAACAGGGTTTTATATAGATCAAGTATTCTGCAAGAAATAGTTTGATCTAGATATATTTCCCTCAAAGAGAAGAAAGACGTAAGAAAATTCATCTTTGAAGACCAAACAAAAATAAGCACATACACCCACACTCATCAACGGGAAGCTGCTAAGACTCTGATTTTATTACTGCTATGCAGCATCCTTAGTTCATATTTAACTGAAGGAGGAGGCATTTCTGTTTGATCATTTTTATCTCCGCCCCTTTAGTAAGTGTTTGCTTTTTAAATTGCCAGCTGTTCTTAACAAGAAGCAGAACGACCAAAGTTGCCTTTTCCTGGTGGCGTCTTAGAAAGTTTTGACTGCTAATATTATTACTTCCACCATTGAATCATGTGTGATAAATCTTTCTAAGTTTGTGAGGTCAGCCACTGAGGTTTTGTCAAAGCTGGAAAGCAGTGCCTGTACTTCGATGTTTCTCACGGTTTCAAGCAGTAAATCACAGAGAGAGAAAAATAAAAAGGCATTTACTGAAATTATCTGCTTACAAATAGTAGGTTTTTTTCCCAGTCTGAAAGATACTAAAAGAAAATAAAAATCCTGGATATCTATGCAATAGCTATGGTAAGAGCTGATCAGTCTTAAGTCATATATATATTTATTGATATATATATGAAGTCACATATATATAAATTCTGAGATTATGTATAGTGAAATCTGTGAGAGCCAGAACCCAACAGGACTGCCTTGTTTTTCCAGGTCTTGCAAGTTTTCCACCTTTGACAGGGTACAGTCTTACCACTTTTCTATCGCTTTCTATTAATGGAAAATATTTGAGTTTTTCTTCTCTGACAGGTTTCCACCTTACACAGGTTCTAGCTCTCTCAAAATTTTTAGAAATAAGACTTGTGTAAAGTAGCAGGTTTATGACTTATTAAAAAACTGAATGTAATAAGGGTAGTATCACTGAGAAAAGATAAAAAATCCTTTTAATTCTACAGCCATTCTTCCATAAATGAAGGGGAAGAAAAAGAGTACATAAAAACTGCATCTGGATATACATTTTCAGGACAACGAAACATAACATGTCCTAAATTGAACTAGCAAATGGCTAGTCCAGGCCGGATCCAACAAAAACAACAAAAATATGCTTGAATCCCTTAAATAGAGATCAATTTATCTCACACATTTTGAATCTAAAACAAACCCTACATAGTTGCTGACAGACATTGCGGAAAGAAGTATCTCTTCAAAGATGATCACAGCAATTCACAGTGACAGGACAACTACCCTGGTGGGAATTCACTTCATGCCATTAAATTACTTTTTATAGTGCTTGAAGAATTATGAAGAATTTGTCGCTGCGACCACAACTAATCTCCCTTTTTGAAACACATTATTAAATGAGATCTGTCTTCTTCCATAAGAGGAAATAATTGCCACTTTAAACATGTGTGTATCAGAAAGGACTGAAAGAGGTTCACCTAGGAGCCTGTCCACGTTAAAAGAAGTTCTCTTAGTTTATGAAACAGTTAACATTAATGTGATGTTTAAGATAGTGCCAAGGAAGAGCAAAAGAAAAATGATTATGAAAAGAAAAGGCTAAAATTTAGAGGCAGTGTAATGATGGCGACCAGATCAAACAGATGTAGACACGGCCCTGCCATCAGGCTTCATGATACGCGCCTCAAACGTCACTCTCTATTCAACTCTGCTTCCCTGAGCCAGATTCTGCTTCTGCTTGATTGTGTCTCTTTTCCTTCTTTCTCTCTCTTCTTTCCTTTCCCTTTTATCACAGTTACACTTCTTTACCCTTTCTGTGTTCCTGTAGGAGACCAAGGGCCTCCGTGGATTGACTCCGCGACTCCCCAGAACTAATCTTCCCTCTGGCTCTTTCACTTTCCTGGACTGAAGCATTTGAGTGGGGTGAGTTCTGCTAAATCTGATAAACACTATGAGTAGGTACTTTGAGTTGGGTCCTGGGCATGTAAAGATTAGAAGTAATGCATATTATCGTAAAGGAGCTGAACTCTGACAATGGAAAAAATGAGTACCCACAAGGTATGGTTTCCTAGTCAATAAGGAGATGTGAAACAGTATGGCATATTTAGGGATCTGCACATAAATCTAACATAAAATGCCCTTGAACATACAGAGTAGGCAGCAGGCCCTGTGGAAGGATTTGAAGAATGCACATGTGTCCATTGCCCGTAAAACCCCTACTCATGCCCTCTCAGTGAATTACCCCCCTCTGCTTCCGTGCCACTGACCAACCCTGATCACATCACTCCCCATGCCAGTCTCCTTACCCATATTACCCTGATTTAAATGCAGTAGCCCTAAGTATAATCACTAATATGCTCATCTCTCACTTAATGCTCTCTTTTCATTACAAAAAAAGAATAGTATATAGGGGTGAATCAGGTAAATTACAAGGCTAGAAGTATGATTCAAAGTCTGGATAATTGAACTGTACTGTTTATCCCTTTAGCAAAGTCCATTCTAAAACTACGTTTTCTCTAACTATATAAAACAATAAGGAAAGGCCTGCTCCTACTTATGGCTTCCAATTCACCCTCCCACTGTCTCCCCAGGCTCTCCAGTGACCAGTGCTTTGCCCGCTGTCCTTCTATGAGAGGCCAACTTCAGAGTAAGTCCAGTTGTGAGTGTCAGAAGTGGCTTAGATTTGGAATTAAGGAATCATTTCTTCTTCAATGCTGGGGTTGAGGGTTGGGGGATGGTGTATGGAGGAGATCTATTTAATAATTGCCAAGAAAAATCAGTATAAATTTTTCTAAGGTACTATTCTGAAAGAATAAACAAACAAAAACCCATGTTGAAAATCTTTGTTAAATGAGGGCTCATTATACAACTTGCATTTATCAAAGATGGGCAGATAAGCCATGTTATTGTTGTTGTTAGCTGACATTGAGTTAGCCGCCAACTCATGGCACCCTCATGTACAATGGAACAAAACATTGTCCAGTCCTCCATGATCCCCCTGATCAGTTGTGGATCTGACTGTTGTGATCCACAAGGTTTTCACTGGCTGAATTTTGGAAGTATATTTCCAGGCCTTTCTTCCTAGTCCATCTCAGTCTAGAAGCTCCACTGAAATCTACTCAGTACCATAACAAACTATCAGCCTTTACTGACAGACAGGTAGCAGGTACACATGAGGTGCATTGGCTGGGAATCAAACCTGAGTTTCCCACGTTAAAGGCAAGAATTCTACCACTGGACCACCAATGCCCCCTAGACAAGCCACAAGAAAACATATTTGTTCTGATGGTCCAGGACTAATCTGATATGAAAATCCGGGTCATTTTTCAAAGGTGGCATTGAGATGATTTTGCATGATACTCTTCCTGCTAGTCCAAATAATGTCCTCTAAAAGCTAATCAATGCTCACACCTAGACCACTATAGGAGACCACCTGTAGGTGCTGTGACTTGAGCCAAGAAGGGAATAAGCAACGGCTGCAGGTGCAGGTCCTGGACCAGCCAGCACTAATGAAACCTCAAGAGAGGAAGGACATAGGTAAGAGTGATTCCCCTCTTTCTAGGGCTCTACTCAGTACATTTATACCAGTGTTTCCAAACCTAGGATCACGAAACGGTGTCTATGAGCCAATTTCAAATATTTTAAAAAGCACAAAAATCATATCTTTATGGGAGGGATGGCTCCCTGGATAAACTAAACTTGCAAATTTAATCTCTTTGCTCTTGGTTGGAAGAATATCAGCTTGACACAGTAACACTGGTCATCTCATAATAATGAAAGTATGTTATAAATTTTTGTAATTAACAAAACGGGAATAAATCATTATTTTTTTTCCTCTAAATTTTACTTATTTTGTTGTTGTTTTTGAGAATATACACAGCAAAACAAACACCAATTCAGCCATCTCTACATGTACAATTTAGTGACATTGATTACATTCTTCAAGTTATGCAACCATTCTCACCCTCCTTTTCTGAGTTGTTCCTCCCTCATTAAGATAAACTCACTGCCCCCTAAGGTTCCTGTCTAATCCTTCAAGTTGCTGTTGGCAATTTGATCCCATATAGATAGCTCTTAAAAGAGCACAATGCTCAAAAGCAGACCTTTTTCACTAGTTAAGCTAAACTACCGTTTGGTTTTAAGACGATTTCAAGGGGTATTTTTTGATTTAACGTTTAAAGATTATCTCAGGCAATAGTTCCACGGGGAAATAAATCATTATTAGTTAAAAAATGTATATGGGCTTTTTCGGGACAACATCTTTCAAGGCACACACATAAAGATAAAAAAAATACAAGGGAAACTTGGTGGTAAAATGATTGGGGATCACTGGCCTTGGCTATTCATGCTTCTCACAGTTCTGCTCACCCCCTTCCTCATTTTTCCAGGCCAATGGTGTCACAGACAGGTCACTGTTTTGATTTTCCAGTTTTTGTCTTCTCCAGGCTGAATGGAAGGAGTTTTTGTTCCTTAGAAAGGAACTAGAAAGACTTCTGACTGATCATGGTGATGCTGAAAGGCTCCTTTATCATACGAACAAGTAAAAATGCTTAGAAAATATAAATTTAAAAGCTACTGTTTAATGCATAGCATAACTCAATCAGGAAGAAAGGAAGGAGGGGGGAGAGGGAGGAAGGACAAACAGAACAAGAAAGAGAAAGAGAGAGAAATCCCCTAGATACTAGAAATAATAAAAGAATTCAAGCTAGAGCTGAAAGTAAAAGCTGATGCTGCAATAACCCATGGAGTTTTGAAAACCCCAAGCTGAGGGAGTAACCTGAAAGACTGGTCTGCAATCTCTGAAACCTAGAGAGATCAAGCCAGAGCATGTGTGAATTTGCTGTGTAGGCACTTTACAACTCACCCTCACAGGAAACAAACAAACAAGAAAATGACCCAATAAAATCTAATGAAAAGCTACACAACAAAACATTACATAACAATATATAACTAAACCATGTCTACTTTAAGTTAAGAACTCAACGGTAGGGCTAAATAGAATTATAGACACAACTGAAGAGAAATACTACGAACTGAAGGAATGGATCTGAGAGAATCACCCAGAAAGCTGCAAACAGATGAAGAATGGAAAGTATTAAAGTGAGATTAAGAGACATGGAGGACAGAATGAGATATTTATCTTGTGGGGATTTCAGACAGAGAAAATAAAATGAAGGAAAGCACAATTTGAGGAGATAATATGGTATTATAGAGTCAAAAAAAAAAAAAAAAGGCAAGAGTCTTCAGATTGAAGAAACAAAAAGAATCAGAGCAGAAAAAAATAAAAACAAAAGTTGTTGTTAGATACCGTAGAGTCGGTTCTGACTCATAGCGACTCTATGTACAGAAGAACAAAACGTTGCCGGCCCAGCACCGTCCTCACATTCGTTGCTATGTTTGAGCCCATTGTTGCAACCACTGTGTCAGCCCATGTCATTGAAGGTCTTCCTCTTTTTCACTGACCCTCTACTTTACCAAGCATGATGTCCTTCTCCAGGAACTGGTACCTCCTGATAACATGTCCAAAGTAAGTGAGATGAAGTCTCACTATCCTCCATCCTAAGGAGCATTCTGGCTGTACTTCTTCCAAGGCAGATTTGTTCCTTCTTCTGGCAGTGTATGGTCTATTCCATATTCTTCACCAACACCATAATTCAAATGCATCAATTCCTCTTTGGTCTTCCTCATTCATTGTCCAGCTTTCCCATGCATATGAGACTATTGAAAATACCATGTCTTGGGTCAAGTCCACCTTAGTCCTTGAAGTGACATCTTTCCTTTTTAATCCTTTAAAGTAGTCATTTTCAGCAGACTTGCCCAGTGCAATACATCATTTCATTTTTAGGCTGCTGCTTCCGTAGGCATTGATTATGGATCCAAGTAAAATGAAATCCTTGACAACTTCAATATTTTCTCCATTTATCATAATGTTGCTTATTGGTCCAGTTTGTGAGGATTTTTGTTTTCTTTATGTTCAGGTGTAACCCATACTGAAGGTTGTAGTCTTTGATCTTCAATAAGTGATCAAGAACAGATGGTACTTAGGGAAGAAGTCCAAGGTGCACCGAAGGCACTGGTGAAAAACAAGGCTCCGGGAATTGACAGAATACCAACTGGGATGTTTCAACAAACAGATGCAATGCTGGAAGTGAACACTTGTCTATACCAAGAAATCTGGAAGACAGTTACCTGGTCAACCAACTGAAAGAGATCCATATTTGTGTCCATTCCAAAGAAAGGTGATCCAAGAATGCAGAAATTATCGAACAACATCATTAATATTACACACAAGTAAAATTTTGCTGAAGATAATTGAAAAACAAAAAGTACTCCCAAACAAATAATGGTGAAAATGCAGATGATCATAGATGCAATTAGATTTCTCAAGAACCACTATAAGAGCCAGAAGAAAATAGAATAATATCTTTCAAATGCTGAGAGAAAATAATTGTCATCTAAATTTCCATATCCAGCTAAGTATCGTCCAAAGGTAAGGACAAAATAAAGCCATTTTTAAATAAAACTCAGAAAATTTATTACCCACAGAACTTTATTATAAGAATTACTGCGATTTTTAGTTCGGGAAGAAGGTAACTATACAAAAAAAAAAAAAAAAAAAAGAAAGAAAGAATAATAAATAAATATATCAATAAACATGTTGATAATCTAATAAATACTGATTATAAATAATAATAACAGCTAAAATTCACTGAGCAGTTATTATGTGCCAATAACTGAACTAACTCATTTAATTATTACAATAAACCTACAAGTAGATACCATTATAATCCCCACTATAGATATGAGGAAACTGAGGCACAGAGTACTTATGCAACTTGCAACACCAAAAAATAATAACCAAATAATAATCAGTCCGGGGATGGTTTAGAAATAAGGTACTAGTCAATAGAATACAAACTAGTTAATAGAAGTAAAATAAGTCAATAAAATACTAGTCAACAATATTGTATATAATATGTATATATATATATGTATATATAAACATAAAATGAGTGGGAATACATTGATGCAAAACCCAATCTATCATTGTTGAATGATTCAATTAAGACAAATATGCATGTTACATACATGTTTCTAACTACTGAAAGTATAGAAAGAGAATCTTCTAAATAGTGGAGGGAAAAACGTGGGAAGGAATAAGAAAAAGCAATGAATCCAAGAGAAAGCAAAAGAGGAGAAAAGATAAAGGAAAAAATAGCAACTTTAACAGAAAAATGCTGAAAAAATACTAAAATATAAGTAACCACAATAACAATAAACAGAACAAACTCCCGTTAACAGATATTGTCACAGTTGATATTTAAAAATCTAACTATATGCTGTTTACAACAGAATCAACTACAACACAATGACCTAGATAAGTTGAAAATAAAGGAATAGAAAAAGAATGAGTAACCAAAAGAGTTGGTGTGATATTAATATAAGATAAAATAGACTTGCAGGGAGAAAGCATTATTAAGGATAAAGAAGGTCTTTAGGTTCAACTACATAAAGCAACAAGGCCTAAAATTATATAAAGCTAAGGTGACAGATTCAAGAAGAAATTTATAAAATCACAGTCCTAGTGGGAGATTTTTAATATACTTATCTCAAAAACTGATAAAGAATGAAAGAAAATATTTGGTAACCATATATCTGATGAGTTTAATATACAGAATATATAAAGAACTTGTATAACTCAATAACAAAAAGGCAACACAATGAAAAAATGGGCAAAGAACTTAAATAGATATTTCTCCAAATAAGATACACGAATGGCCAACAGGCATATGAAAAGATGCTCCAGGTCATTAGTCATTAGAGAGATGCATATCAAAACCACAGTGAGATACCACTTCACTGCCACTAAGATGGCTATTATCAGAAAAATGGAAAACAACAAGTATAGGAGAGGATGTGGAGAAACTGGGACTCTCTTCCATTGCTGGCGGGAATGTAAAACGATGCAGCCACTGTGGAAAACAGTTCAGCAGTTCCTCAAAAAGAATTAATCCAAGGAAAAATAAATTTACGTAAATTTAAGAACACAAAACACAAAAGCTATATTAAACTGTTTTTGGATATACACATTTATAGGACAATGTGAAAATCCCCTAGAAAAGATAGTCATATTTGAGGAGGGAGAAGGGGATGGATAATGGATGGGTACAAAATAGGTTTCAACTGTATTGGTAATTTTTTGTTTCCTTTAAAAATCTGAAACAGATACCAGAAGTTGTTAACATTTATGAAATCTGGGTGAAGAAAATGTGTTTATTATTCTATGTAGAAAAAATTGAATGACACAGGAAGCATCAAAAGAAGATGGAAGGAATACATAGTCACTATACCAAAAAGAAATGGTTGACTCAGCCATTTCAGGAAGTAGCATATGATCAAGACCCGATGCTATTGAAGGAAGAAGTCCAAGCTACACTGAAGGCATTGGTGAAAAACAAGGCTCCAGGAATTGACGGAATGCCAACGGAATGTTTCAACAAACGGATGCGATGCTGGAAGTGCTCACTTGTCTAAGCCAAGAAATTTGAAAGACAGGTACGTGGCCAGCTGACTATAAAAGATCCATATTTGTGTCCATCCCAAAGTAAGGTGATCCTCCGGATGTGGAAATTATTGAAAAATATGATTAATATAACATGCAAATAAAATTTTGCTGAAGATCATTCAAAAGCACAGGGAACTGCTAGAAATTCAAGACCGATTCAGAAGAGGATGTGGACCAAGGGATATCATTGCTGATGCCAGATAGATCTTGGCTGAAAGCAGAGGATAACAGAAAAGATGTTTACCTGTGTTTTACTGACTATGCACAGGCATTCGACTGTGTGGATCATAACAAATTATGGATAACATTGTGAAGAATGGGAATTCCAGAACACTTAATTGTGCTAATGAGGAACATGTACAGAGACCAAGAGGCAGTGGTTCAAAAAGAACAAGGGGATACTAAAAAAACTCGTTGCCGTTGAGTCGATACCAACTCACAGCGACCCTATAAGACAGAGTAGAACTGCCTCATAGGGTTTCCAAGGAGTACCTGGTGGATTCAAACTGCCAGCTTTTTGGTTAGCAGCCATAGCTGTGCCACCAGGGTTTCCAAAGGGATACTACATGGTTTAAAATCAGGAATGGTGTGAGTCAGGTTTGTATCCTTTCACCATACTTATTCGATCTGTATGCTGAGCAAATAATCTGAGAAACTGGACTATATGAAGAAGAATGCAGCATCAGGATTTGGAGGAAGATTCATTAACAACCTGCCAGATGCAGATGACACAACCTTGCTTGCTGCAAGTGAAGAGGACTTGAAGCACTTACTGATGAAGAGCAAAGACTTCAGTATGGATTATATACCTCATATTGAAGAAAACAAAAATCCTCACAGCTAGACCAATAAGCAACATCATGATAAAGGGAGAAAAGATTGAAGTTGTCAAGGATTTTATTTTACTTGGATCCACAATCAACGCCCATGGAAGCAGCAGTCAAGAAATCAAACAACATATTGCGTTGTGCAAATCTGCTGCAAAAGACCTCTTTAAGGGTTCAAAAACAAAGATGTCACCTTGAGGACTAAGGTGTGCCTGACCCAAACCATGGTATTCTCAATCGCTTCATATGCATGGGAAAGCTGGACAATGAATAAGGAAGACCAAAGGAGAATTGATGCCTTTAAATTACACTGCTGGTGAAGAATATTGACTATACCACGCACTGCCAGAAGAATGAACAAATCTGTCTTGGAAGAAGTACAGCCAGAATGCTCCTTAGGATAGAGAATAGTGAGACTTCATCTCACTTACTTTGGACATGTTATCAGGAGAGACCAGTCCCTGGAGAAGGACATCATGCTTGGTAAAGTAGAGGGTCAGTAAAAAAGAGAAGACCCTCCATGAGACGGACTGACACAATGGTTGCAACAATGGGCTCAAACATAGCAAAGATTGTGAGGGTCGTGCAGGACCGGGCAGTGTTTGGTTCTGTTGTGCATGGGGTCACTATGAGTCAGAACCAACTCAACAGCACGGAGCAATAACAATAGCAACAGTTTTCTAAATATTTGAAATATTTCTTAACACAAAAATGACAAAGAAAAAAATTAAAGAGCAGCTTTAAGGAAAAAAAAAAATAGAAGAATTTCTAGGTTTGTAAGTTGTAAGTAGCATCAGCCTTAGGCCCTTCATCTATAAAAGGCTTAATAGTAACTCCTGCCTTTTAGGCTCAATGATAGTAGTGCAACAGTTATGTGCTCAGCTACTAAACGAATGGTTGGTAGTTCAAACCCACCCAGCAGCTCTGTGGGAGAAAGTCCTGGTAATCTGCTTCAGAAAGATTACAGCCAAGAAAACCCTATGGGACAGTTCTACTCTGTCATTATGAGTTAGAATCGACTCTACAGCACCCAGCAACAACAGGTTCAATGAAAAGAGCCCTAGTAGTGCAACATTAAGCTCTTGGCTGCTAACCAAAAGGTTGATGGTTCTAATGCACCTGGTGGCTCCACTGGAGAAAGACCTGGCAATCTATTTCCTTAAAGATTACAATCTAGAAAACCTTTTGGGGCAGTTCTACTGTGTCACATGTGGCCGCTATGAATCGAAATCAACTCCATGGCACCTAACAACAGCAACAGGCTCCATGAGAACCACACATCCAGCACTTAGTTTGGAGCTTGGTGCAGCATGCTCAGACAAGCTAGCTGCCATTAGCTTTTAATTCTAAAATCTGAAACGGTCTACTCTCATCCTCACATCAATCTAAGAAGGCCTGGATGAAAAACCTTTTATGACCCCATCTCATTCAAGTCCTAAAGCAAGAGTAAGTGTGCTATGCTAATTTTTTACAGCAACATGTAAAAAGAACATTGGCATAGGGGAGTTTATGAAAATACCTGGGGGGCGGGGGAGGGTATGGTTGGCAAACAAATGTAGAAGGCATGCATTATTTGCATAAAAACACAGCAATCACTGTTACTAGTCAATTTGGATAATTTTTTCTTAAAAAAAAGAAACTTCATATACTTGTAATTAGTAAAATTATGCTACTGTTATAAAAAATGCTACAGTACCTTCTTGAAGTTTTTCCACACTATAACCATCCTGAAGGTTGCCTTGTCTCCCTAAGTCCAGCATCACTGCTCCATAATATGCCCAGGATGAATTCCAAGCCACTGAGATGATCATCATCACCATCAGCCGCAGTGTGGCCACTACAGTTTTCTTAAACACTTATGTGCCATGCATTTCTAATCTTTGCAACTCTGATATATGGGTTTCTCAATCACATAATAGCCCTGTAAGCATATTATCACCTATTTTTCTGATAAGGAACCGAGGTCCAGACAGGTCAAATGATCTGCTAGAGGGGTGTTTTGAGGACTAAAAAAAGATCATGTAAAGTAACTAACACATAAAATCTATTCAATAAAAATTGCTTCTCTCCTCCTTCTCCCAGGTGTTCAATTAAATATCTGTTTATTATAAAGACGAAAACGTAGGACATGGGGTCCTCTTGGCAGATATTTTGCATTTGTATCAAGAAGCCTGGCTTTAAAAGTTTAACCACTGTTTTTTGCAACAACATATTGTAAGTATTAAGAAAGGTAATCCATTCAAAAATTCCTCTACCAAACTCTTCATTTGTGACCAAAAATGACATTCAAACGACTCCATCTAGAATTATTCAACTATAAAAGTTGAATTCACACATCCTTCTTTCAGAAAAGGAGTAATTCCAGTCTGAAGCACTTCATAAAATATTGCTTTGTTCTAACATGCTGCCTGAAACAAGTGAATATGGGATGGCTAAATGGATATATGGTCTGTGGTGATGAGAACAGAAATATAGCCTTTGAAACACTTCCTGACTTATATTTTCCCACATACATTAATCAAAGCAATCACTCAGAATAGTTTCAATTATATTTTAAATATATTCCTTTCAAATGATACCATTATTACAGAGAAAGAACAATAATACAAGCATCATTAGCCATAGTCCTTGGCTTTCTATGCATGAATATATTCTGAGAATGCCTGGAAATGTTGGGGTTTTGGCTATATTAAACATAGAAAGATTTCTTCAGAATTTAGTCACAAGGGTAAATTGTAAATAGTAAGCACTAGATTTAATTGTTTATTTTTTCTGCCTTGATTTTTCTTCTATATTTCAAACAGTTTACTTTGTATTAAATTCAGTTGCCCTCAACAGCTATTTCCTATGTTACTATTTTTTTTCCTTAGAAATATTATAAGTCTTTGTATATATAATGTTACCAGGTTAAGAACATTGGCAGAGAGAGCGAAGCGGGTGGGAAAAAATGAAATTTTCTCCATCCTGATGTCCTGGGGAGTGTTATTCTGTATAATACGAAGCATCTATTAAGTGGCATTCTCTACAGTGATGGGGAAAGTGTCAGCCTTATGTATACTCGTGGATGGTGGCTATACTGGGACGATGGTTTGTTTAATTTGGCTCCTCAGAATCACTTACTCTTGCTTAATTTGGAGGCTTCTCTGCTGTGGGGATGGCCCTGATCAAGCCAAACTGTATGGATGGGACCTGTAGAATTGAGAGCTTAGAGTGGATACTGAGATTATATTCTTGGCTGGAACCTCTACCCCCATTGTTTGACAGTTAGGATGGGATAATAATGGAGTCCTCGGGTGGTGCAAATGGTTAACATGCTTGTCTGGTAAACAAAAGGTTGGAAGTTTAAGTCCGCCCAGGGGTACCTTAAAAGAAAGGCCTGGTGTCTTAGTTATCTAGTGCTGATATAACAGAAATACCCAAAGTGGATGGCTTTAACAAAGAGAAATTCATTCTCTCATAGTCTAGTAGGCTATAAGTCCAAATTCAGGGTGTCAGCTCCAGGGGAAGGCTTTCTCTGTCGGCTCAGGAGGAAGGTCCTACTCATCAATCTTCCCCTGGGCTAGGAGCTTCTCTGTGCAGGAATCCCGGCACTGCTTTCTTGGTAGTATGAGATCCCCTTCTCTGCTCGTTTCCCTTTCCTCTTATCTCTTGAGAGAGAAAAGGTGTGCAGGCCACATCCCAGAGAAATTCATTCGATCAGGGATGTGACCTGGGTAAGGGTGTTACATTCCACCCTAATCCTCTTTAACATAATCTAATCTTGCCTCATTAACCACAGGCAGAGATTAGGATTTATAACACATAGGAAAATTACATCAATCACAAAATGAAGGATAACCACACAATACTGGGAATCATGGCCTAACCAAGTTGACACATATTTTGGGGGGACACAATTCAATCCATGACACCTGGTGATCTACTTCCAAAAAAAATCAGTCATTGAAAACCCTATGGAGCTACTCTGACACACATGGGGTGACTATGAGTCAGAATCAACTTGATGGTAACTTTTCTTTTTTAATTTCTTGACAGCTTAATGGTGGCCAGGTACTGTATAAATTATTTCAAATCATCCTTCAACTATTCAAGATAAGTTGCTCCCATTTTAAAGAAGAGGAAATTGAAGATTTAAAAGGTTAAATAATTTTTCCAGGACAATATAGCTGCTAGGTAGCATAGAAGGATTTGAACACAGATTGCTGACATAGAGTATATGCTTATTCTACTATCCATGCTGCCTCTCATTTACCTCCAGATTTTGATTTAATTTTTTTGTTTTTCAGGTTAAAGAAGGTAGATTTAAATGGCTGAAAACTCAATGAGAACCTGGATCACTTTGCACAGTCTGGAGGTGCTGGGGTCAGGCAAGAACATGGGCTGAACTTCGGCTCAACAATGATGATCACCCAATATGAGGAGGGGGTTAGCAGGATTACAGATAAGTAATCTTGTAACGTTCAACTTCTTTCAATACTTCCTTTAGCTTGTTGTTTGCATCAAATACCCAGCAGAAACTCTGTTCCTAGGGCTTGGTTTTGAGGATACTCACAGGTTGGAGGGGCCTAAGAAAGGACTAAACTAAATCCTTATCTTCCAGGACCATTTTTAAAACCCAATTAATCATAAAGGTCCGATCTGATGTTCATAGTGTATCTTCTTGTTTCTTTGTTTGCAGACCTCTGTCCTTAGGCAAGTTTACAGGAGCAGAATTCATTTGGAGGCAATATTGGAAGCTGAGGTAAACCACACTGTTTGCAAAATGCAGCATTAGCACAATGCAGAGAAGTGTGTAGGTGAAGAACAACACAGCATCACTGGAAAACCCATCACTTCGTCTTTAGTATACTTTGCATAGAGAGCTGGAAGCTGGCTCATCAGCCACATAGCACATAAAATTTGCTTAGTAACTCTAAAGCTGTGGGTTTCCAGGCTCAGTATGGCTGGGATCTCCTCCCTCAATTTTTCAGTGTCTTCATTCTATTTGTTACACTGCTTTGTAGATTCAGTGGATAACCTACCAGATATCTTTACTTTAGAAAGAAGTCTTATCGTGCTGATTCCTTGCTTAAAATCTCCAATGGCTCCCACTGCCTAGAGTACCAAATTTAGACCTGCATCCTCCAATGCCCTTCACAACCTGACCATCACCTTTCATTTCAGACCCATTGTTCCACCTCTCTTCACTCATCTATTGCTCCAAATGTATGAAAACATCTGCCAGGCCTCACACTATGCACTTTCATAAGCTCTAATTTTGTCCTTTATTCTCCCACCTGTTTTCCCTTCAAGGTTTAGCTCAAACTTCTCTGCCCATGTGAAGCCATTGCCATCTGTCAGCTCCATGATGGAAGGACCACTGTCCAATCCATTTTCATTTACCTGGCATGAAGTGGGTATTCAATAATCATTGAAATAGAAGGTGTGTGAAGTCACATAAGAGGTCTCCTTGTAAGCCAGGTTGTGCGATACCATGATAATACTGTTTTTAATGAAATAGTCTGGGGTTTTCGAGATGGCCCCACCCTGAACTTATATGGATCCCATGCGTGGTTGGGAAGAAACCCACTAGGGCACTAAAGATACCATTATTAAGTCTTTCCATGACCTCTCTTCTCTAGGACAAATAATACTAATTTCTTCAGCTTTCACTTCCTTTACCACCACCACATTTCTTAATTTTCTAAAGCATACAGGCCAAATCAAAGCAGATGTAGGGGAAGGTGCTGAGTACACTATGGAAGAGGGACCCCAGGAGACTCTCCCTCTCACCGCATTCATCTGCCACCCCTCCAGACTCTCTGTTAGGCAGGAAGGAACAGGTCATCAAGCTGTATGCCCCCGGACTCAGGCCTTCTCTCCCTTTACATGGAAAAGTATACTGTAACTAAAAGATAAAATGGTAACAGCAACGTTCATACACTTAAGGCTCTAAAATAACTATTGAATCTCCAATACTACATTCAAACTAAAAGGTAGGTCACATTCTAAGTGATTAATTTTTAACAATTCTTACTTTATTTCATGGACATGTTTAGCAGATCAATCTACATACAATGTTTGTCTTTTGTTATACATGCTAGTGGAAATGGCTGTGTCAGTGGAATGAGATATAAAGATGCTAAGTGTGTGCATGAAAATTATAAATGTGTTCAAACCTCAGCTGAAAAAATATATATCTGCCACAGGTCTCATGGTAAAGCCAGACATTACAAAACTTGTCACTAAAGGAAATAACATCATCTGAATAAAAAATGAGAAGATCACGCAAAAAAGCACAAGAGAAGAAGCCACAAATGCCATGACCACAAACCTACTTTTAGAAGTAACAAAAAAAGGAAAAGAGTAAGCAAATTCTCAGTTTCTAATTTCTCTATTGTTCTAGATATTTGCCTCACTAAATATAATTATAAAAAGTCAAGACCAAAATTTGATCAGAAAAAATAACAGCAAACAACCGTCTAGAATTAAAATTCAACTTAATTAAAAAAAAAAAAGTTTAATGGCATTGGGAGAAATACTTTTTTTAGACTTTAAACAAGTTAATATCTTGGACAGCTTCACAAGCAGATATATTATTCCATAAAGGTATTGAGGACTAGAGATTTTAAGAGAATACCTTTCTTGAGGCCAACAGTCTCCTCTACTGTGTTCACAAAGTAATTGTGGAGAAATAGCATTGAAAGTAGGTATAGGCAAAGTTAGTGGAGTGTTTTAAGGAAAAAAAAAAATCCTTCAAAGAAAGTAAAATCTCACCTAACTCAGCTTCATTTGGGACCATAGAAAAAAAACTTGGCAGAGAGAGTCCTTAGCATATTTCATATATTCTCAATGATACTATATTCATCTTAATAAAATAAAGTCGTTGGGTAGTCTTTTGCATTTGCATTTGGGTGGGTACAAATGCTCTTCAAGGAGAAATACAAGATTTGTTTTCCCATGCCAATTACGGTACCATGGCACGATTCACCCTTGTCAACATTCTGGCAGCCTCAAGCTCCCATAGGTAGCCAGAAAATCTAGACTGAAAACAAATCCGAGGCCCTTTGTACTCACTCTGTGAAGTATATCTGACCAAGTATTCTTGGAATCTTTTTTAGTTCTACCAACACCAAAAATGCCCACAAGCAGCATTTCCCATAGTATACCACATCCATGGAAGACTCTCTGACAAATGTTTTTTGATGAATAAAGAAATTACCAAGAGGGAATTTCCTAAACTTACTTGACCATAGAACCATTTTTTGTTTTTCCATATAACATTTCTTGATATCCTAGGATGAGTCTCCCTAGACACGCATACAATAGAAAACAGACTGGAAATGCTATTCCAGGAAAGCAATATTATATAGTACTTAAGAGTATAGCGTCTGGAGTCAGGCTTCTTAAATTTAAATGTTTCACTTAATAATTGTGTGACTTTCCACAGAGTACTTAATTTTTCTCTGCTTCCGTTTCCTTTTTGGTATAACAGATATAACAAGTGTATCTATTGCTTAGAGTTATTGTCACAAAAAGAGAGCATGTACAGAGATGAATGCTTAGCACAATGTCTACAACATATTAATATCGAGAAAAATGTTTGCTATTAGTACTTTTATCATCCCCAGAGGTATAGGTAGGCACAGAGGGAGGTCCTTTCTAAATGAGTCTGCCTTCTAGGTCTGGGCTAGAAGCAAATTGGCTTCAGGGCTCTAGCTGTCTCTAGCTCTACCTTTAAGTTTCCCTTTCATTGGATGGTATTATTTTCCCTCCCTCAGTTACTCTGGATTGGACTTCCTAGGACTTTTCCAAAGCAGACTTGATCAGGGGCTGGGAAAAGGAAACCCTCTTCCAAGATCCCAACTTCAGGAGAGAACCCACTGCACTAGAAATGGCTGCATAAAGCTCTAGCTATGCAGTGGAACTTATACCAAACCTTGGGCATGCACTTGGCTATTTTTGCTGGTATACTCTGGGTCTGGACAGCTTGGTGGGCTCCTGCACAAGTCTGCTTGCTTCCCACCTGTGCCCTGTTGTTCCTGTTAACAGAGTGTTTGTGGTAATGGAGATACCAAGAGTCTTTTTTAAATTTATTTATTTGGCCTTTGAGAGTTTTTTTCCCTTTGATTACTAAAGTTGTTGTTGTTGGATGCCACCGACTTGATTCCAACTCATAGCAATCTCATGTGACAGAGTAGAACTGCCCCATAGGGTTTTCTTGGCTGTAATCTTTATGGAAACAGATCACCAGGTCTTTCTCCCACAGAGCCGCTGCGTGGGTTTGAACCACCAACCTTTCGGTTAGCAGCCATGAGCTTAACTGTTGTGCCACCAGAGCTCCTGTGATTACTAAAGCAACACTCGTTATATAAAAATATGATGTTATATAAATATATCAGGTAAAAAGTAAGCATCTCCTGCAATTCTGCAACATTCCCCCTGACCCTCAACCCCAAGACTGCTACTGTCACCAATTTTTTCCCCATTTCTAATGATGTAAAGAACTCGAAGCTCTATAATCTGCTGGGAATTCTTCATTCTGTCCCTTTTACTTTCGGTAGTTTCTCTTCATCTTTTTGGAAGGAAGCTTAGGTATTACCTTTGTGAAGTTTCCTGACCCAGTCTAGCAATGCTGACACCTACTTCACCAGATTCCCAACGTTATTTGTACATACTTTAATCAGAAAACTCATAACAACTTGCATTGCCATTTTTGAAACAAATGCCTCTCCCACTGGATTCGAGGACTATGTCTCATTCCTCTTTGGTACAAGCCCTCTGGCACACTAACATACTGCCAATGCACAATAAATATTTGTTAAGTGAATGAGTGATAGAATATTCAAATAAAATATTTTTCTGAGTTAAACTTTTAAGCTATATAATAATCACAATCAAGATACTCACAATTAGACTTTTCTAGAAAGATGTTTCTGATATAGCCTACATTTCAACAGCCAGATAATACTGTTAATTCTTATCTCTTTCATTTGTTTAAGTCTGAAAACGTAAAACTCTAACTTCACAGACATGATAAATTGGAAGAATTTTGGGATGGATGGTGGTTTATTTTTCAAGTGCCAAACAAACATTTTGAAGCATAACATATTTGGCCATAGGCTTTGTCCACTGATACTAGAACATTCCAGGAAATGTCATTTCAAATAAACAGTTTCAAGTCCAGTAAACCACAAACACAAAAAAGTATTCAACAGCACTTCATAGCAAATAACCTTCTGCTGACAGTTACTCAGGAGTAACTGATTATATTTACAAAGCACAAATATCTCTTCTGTTAGATTAACTGAACATAGTTTAAGCTGATGGCTTGGGTAAAAAGAGTGAATCTATAAGAGTAGTGAAAGAGGAGGACAAAAGAGAAGAGACCAGAAGGATGAATCTGAGAAAAATATTTCCAAATATCGGAAAGCCCCACTGGGCCTACACTTCAAATTAACAAGCCCCTCTGAGGGACTTTTGACACACATGCTGCATGACATATTGTCCAAGGAACAGCATCCAAAAAGAATCTCACTTTTCTTGGAAAAAGAGATTTCCTCAGAGCTTTCATATTTCACCAATTAAAAGTTTGGGCTTAATATAATTATATAATTATGAACCAGTTTCTTGGCCTCTAGCCCAGGCCCTATTTCTTGTTCAAATATATCAGTAATTTTCATCCAGAACTCATATGTCACATGTTGGCCTCTGCTCTTCATATTAAAATACACAGGCAATCTGCAAATAGAAATCCACAATCATTTTTAAAATTAAAGAGTAAGACACAGCGGGTATAATCACAGGAAGGAAGATGCAGAGTGGAGGATGGGCATTTCAATCTACCCAGAAAATGGAAGCTGGGAGGGACCAGGAGAAATATGAGATCCCTGAAAATTTAGTATTGCTGTTATTAGGTGCTGTTGAGTTGATTCGGACTCATAGTGATCCTATGTACAACAGAACAAAACAATGTCTGGTCCTACACCATCCTCACAATCGTTTTTATGCTTGAGCCCATTGTTGCAGCCACCATGTGAATCCATCTCGTTGAGGGTCTTCCTCTTTTTCGCTGACCCTCTACTTTAGCAAAACGGGAAAAATGGAGATGTCAAAGGGTTTCCATCATACAACCGATGGCAAATTCAAAAGTAAGGGGAGGTTCTGGCAAAACGGTGCTATAGGCAGAAGCACCATGCTGTCTCTCCACAGCAAAGATCCAAAAAACTGAGCCGAACAGAGAATACAATAATCCTGAAACCCTAAAACATCAAATGAAGAGATAACTCAGCCAAGCACCAAATGGAGTGAGAAAACTGACAGAGAACGGAGAGCGAGGAGAGATTCATGCAGATGTCCCCTACCAACTAACGCAGCACGGATCCGCCATCTTGGACTCCTATCGGAGACCAGCAAACGGGGTACAAGAAAGCGGCCTCACGGAGCTTCCAGCGGGAGACAAAACAACCAGTAATTTGTGATATATGTTTTCCCACCCCCCACCCTTCTTTACCCCAACTTGGCCTCCTCTGCTTCCCACGGCCACAATCTCTTGACCAGGAAACACCGGCTGCTTGGATACCACACACCCGAACACGCCAGCTCTCTGAGTGCCATTTGTTGGCTGCCGGTGTTGCTTTTTTCCACTTCTTTTGATTTCTTCCTTACTTCTCACCATCTCCCCCGCCTTTCGCTCAAATACATGGCTCCGTGCACCATCTTTGCTTCTTCCTGAGGGGCTGCGGAGCGCCGGTAATTTGTGATATACGCTTTCCCACTCGCTACCCTTCTTCACCCACACTCGGCTCCCTCTGCTTCCTGTGGACACAGTCTCTTGTCCGAGAAACACCAGCCCGCACTAGCTGGCTCTCTGAGTGCCATTTGTTGGCTGCTAGTGTTGCTTTTTTTTCTGCTTCTTTTGATTTCTTCCTTACCTCTCACCACCTCCCCCTCCTTTCGCTCAAATACGTGGCTCCGTGCACCATCTTTGCTTCTTCCTGAGGGGCTGTGGAGCTCCATTCAAGTGTGGAGCTGCTGCACGGTCTGGGCTGCTGTGCTGGTGGGATCCCAGGGCTTATGTGCGTTTGTTTGTTTTGAATTGTTTGTTTGTTTTCTTTTCCTTTTCTTGAGTTGGGCGCCCTTTCTGGCCAGGCTGAGCTGCGTGGCAAGGAGACTTCCCACTCGGCTTGCACAGACATGCAGAGGGATCCCTGAGGGCATTTCTTTTTTCGTTGGGTTTTTTATTTCTGCTTTTGGGGGGGCTTTCTTGTTTGTTTTTTTTTTCTTAATTTGTTTTGTTTTGTTTTCCCTCTTTTTCTCTTTTTGTCTTTCTTCATTGCTCAGTTTCTTATCTCTCTATATATTCCTTCTCCTTCTGTTCCCTGAATACCTGGCGTTGTATACCTCTACACTTTCTAGCCAGGCTGTACTGAACACCTGAGAGCAACTTCCCCAGACCTCATACCTGCACCAGTGGGATCCCTGGGAACTTTGCGGTTCTTTAACCTTTCTGATTTTTATTTATTCATTCCTTTCTTTTCTTCCTCTTCCCCTTTCTTTTTTTTTTCCATTTCATAGTCTCTCATCTCTCCACTCCAACGGCAAGCTCCCCTAGTATTCTTTTGTGTTTGTTTGTATGTTTTTGGCTCCTGTTCCTCTCTCCTCTCTCCTATATCCATCTTAGCTCCACACAAAACAATCTCCCCGCTGCATCCTGCCTACCTGCACCATGCGCTTGACATCACACAACCAAGCAGCACAGGCACGGCCTACTGGAACTTGCCATCCACTGATTACCGACCAGCTCCGGTGGCTGTAGTAAGTGCCACAAACAACCTGTCCCAGTAACTCCTCTTCAGCTAGACCTGCCCTGCCGTACCATATCTGAGTGACTGACCCTGCCAGTTGGAGAAGGAGGCAAAAAGTATTGTGCGCACAGACGATCAAAAAACAAAGAACACACAGTCCGCCTGCTCAGACATAGTCAAAATTTTTTTTAAAAAAAGGGATGAAACAAACAAATCTACAATTGATAAACGAGAAAAATAACTACTTAAGGCCCCCAAAACAGCAGACAATATCAAAACATTTACAAAAACAGGACAGGATG